GTCAAGTCGGCCAGATAGCGCGAGTTTAACGGGTAACTGACCAAGCTAAATGCGGCGGTTGCACAAGACTAATGCGCGTGCCCTGTTCTTCTACTCCAGGGGTCTTCCCCACCCACATCGGCTGGTCAGGGGAGGGTAATTTTGAACTGACCCGATCCTTTGTCATAGATTGGTCCAAGTCAAGTTCCCACCCTCCTCACCCCTCATGACAGTATGCTTTCAAGTTCCTAGCACAAGCCATCTGAGCCCTCTGTGGCTTCTTCTCATAACAGCTTCAGGAGTAGCCCCTACAGTAATTAAAGTGGTTGTATATGTACAATGTACAGCAGACTCATTGGCATGACGGTTCGGTATTATCCATAAAGATCCATAGCGATGGCAGTGATGACTCACACGCGACTCCGAGTCTTTATTGCGTGAGAGGACTGTAGACAGACGCGGACCGACCATAGACTACTTCTCTTCATCCCAGTGGCTTCAACATGACAAAAAAAAAAACGAAGCGAGACGTGCAAGATGTTACGCTTCTCCACCAACAGTGCTGCTGATCTTTGTACCTTTCAGGGCTCGGATTAAGGTCCCAGACCATTCTCAGTTGGTTTTCTCACGATAGAGACAAAAAAAAACCCCTCTTTTCAGAGTTCTCATGACCCTAGGTGACAGGTATAGTTCCCTAGTTTCCTAGTCATGATGTCGCTCTGGTCCAGGTACCTTTGATCACTACATGTGTAAGTATTGTGCCACAGTCGCCTTTATAGTGTGTAACCATGACTGAAAAGTATGGTCTGATCCGGAGAACATGTACGACCAGTGTGAAACCGGAACTCTCCTGTCGATGATCGCACTTGGTCAACCGACCGGAATGTGGATACCCAGTATCCCCACCCCCTGGGTTCTTAGCATTCTAGATCATCGATGATGATATCATATTTTTTTAATCTCCAAGGAGACAAGGAGAAAGGAGGTATGCTATGGTCTATAGTGCGACACATGGGATCGAGGATCGCCGCATCTTCTGGGAACTCGCAAGCACCACCAATTAGGCGCCGGGGCACCAAAAAAAAAAAAAAAAAAGAGGGGTGGCAAGAAAGGAGTACCGAGAGGATGGACGTCTTCTGATAGGCTGAGGTTAAAAACCACGCTAACCCCCCTCTTTCTATTTTTTTCTTTTTTGTGTATCCGCGACAAAAGGGTTCCGTCATACGTGTATACACACAGCGCGACAGTGTCATCATCAACCTCCGTCTCCTGTGTTACTAGGCTGACCCTGTCCGAACACGGATGTGTACCGATTTAGAGCAAACCACATCCACCATTGTCTTTTTTTTTTTTTTTTTTTTTTTTTCCTATTCCTGACGCGACCCCAGGGAAAGGCATGCTGGTTAACGGAAACTAATTATCATTTTTCAACAGCTGTGTAGAATCTCACAACTCTGTGGTTTGCGATCCCAGTTCGCGCTAACAACAGTTTGTCTCTTGCGACACACAAAGCTGCATGGATATCCTCTGCTCCGAACCCTATTACGTGAGACTGCATCCGTAAGATTACATACACATTGCTGGGACACAGCCAGGGTTCCTACGTTGCTGGTGCAAGACCGCGCAAATAACATGTGCAAGAAAGGGACAATAATGAACGGGAAAAACTAAAAATTATTGTCAGCGTGGCCGGCTGACGGAAACGATAATGCGAGATAACGTCAACAACAGGAGGGCAATTGAAGAGGAGAAAGAAATACGCGGTGAAGTTTGTTTGTTTTGTCCCTGTCCATGATGCAGACGCGATTTGGCCACCGTTCCTACTTAATCTATGGGCACTTGACTATGTCGCACTCCTCTCTCAGTAGGCTAATGTAAGGCGAACAAGATGATGTAAAAGGACGAGGATAACGGGTGGCCGACCTTAATGTCAAACGGCGTAATGGACTGCATGCGTGGATGGGTACTTTAGGATGCTGATAAGCAACCTGCTCAATTGCCCACTTCTGCTGCTCTTGCACAGGGACCGGCTAGAAAAGGACAAGTCGTGTAATGCATTTATGCAATCAATATCCAAAGCTGGGTGTAGGACACTCCTATCGCACGCTACACTGCTAGACTACTAGTGTCATACTAACTGTGCCCTGTCCCTTTCTCCCCCACTACGATTCTCGTCGGTATAAAAGCATCAGCAGGTGCGCACTCTTATCCGCCCGTTTTCTCACCCTCTTTTCTTCTTCTCCTCAACGATTTGAAAGGCAGTTGCTCCGAAGATCGTCTTTACTTCTCCCCCTCTCTCCCCTTTCTCCTGCACCCCGTACACGTTCGCTCCTTTGCATCCCTTGCCCACTCCCGCTGTCTTTTGCTGTGCCCTTGTATCACTGATACTCCCGTCTTCGACATTTCCGCCTATTCGCCTATTCAATCCAATGGACACCTCAAATCCCATCGACAGTACAGGGTCATATTTTGACCTTGTCAAACCTATCAGCATTCCAAATATCACCTCATTTCACCACGAGCCAGACATAGATGGGATCTTGCCAGACCAAGGTAATGAGGAAAACGAGCGGCAATCACAAGCAACAAGCAGCAGTAACAAAAACGACAATCACCACCACCACCACAACCACACATCTACTACCCCTCCCCTTCTCACACTTTCCCTCTCTCCTCTTTCTCTCAACTGTTCAACACAAACGTTCCATCCCAACGGCCATGTCTTTGGACCTGATCAGTCTATTTATTGACATCTTTCCGCCCAAAACACTTCTTCCATCTCTCATCACTGCACGCGACCACGCATGTATTAGACACAGTAGACAAGGATGTCCTCCCAGAGTACCTACAGTCCTTCCATGACTCTGGCATCAGCAGTGCTAGATTGAAGCGATTTAACTGGCTGCATCCAAGGAATTACTCTGGCGACGGATCCCTCAGCGATGATTACGCCCTGTCGGCCTATGGGACGAGTGTCTCCTCCCCTCGAGGCGAAGCATGGGAGATTGTCGATCGTGGTAATGTTATTTTTTTCCCTCGTTTTGTTTGTTGTTGCGGTACCCCACGAGGATGAGGATGAGGTCCGTTCATTTTGGGATGGCACTAAAAACTAATGCCTACCCTTTGGCTATCATGCACAGGGCCTAGGAAAAGCATCGATGAGTTGTGGGACGAAGTATTCGAATATCAGCAGCGGATAAAGCTGCTCGAAGAGGTCCATCAAGCACAGGCGGCGGCGGCTGCTCAAAGGCAATACCCAGATCTTGATCAAATCGAATGTAGTCAAGAACGGTTACAGCGACAAGTAAGAGGAGGAGGCGGCGAAGATACCTCCGATCGGGTGTGGCCCGAATATGGTGACGGCTCCGAGACATGCTACACACCTTGTTCGTCCACGATGTCCGGGTCGGGCCTGTCGACGGTCGCACCAAGTCTTGTTTTGTTCGCTACAAAGACCATGGCCACGTTGGGTCAAACTCCGATGAAGATCACCTCAGGGACGCTGACACAGATCGATAGAACGACCGTCTATGCCTCCCGAAAGGGAGTCCGATCCGACCGCGGATCTGCTCTCCACCTGCTGCACTCGACCTTTGGCGCCTTCGCGTGAAAAAAAAAAGTAATACATGCATGCGAGGGGGACGTATACATGCATGCAGCACAGAAACAAGCGCGCAGCTAGACCAGTCTTAATAGTCCTTTCCACTTTTTTTTCCCTTCATCTTCTTTATACATGCTGCTGGCTCAGTTTGGGTCGCTTCGTAGCCTCCCTTGTACATAGTGAAACTCAATAAACTACTAGAATAATCATTTTTTTCCTTCAGTTGCTCTTATTCTTGGAACACCCACTCCCTTCTCGGCATAGCCCTTTTCGTAAAAAAAAAAAAAAAAAAAAGGACTGATGAGAACTTGAGGCATAGACACTTCGCTTGAATGGCACTGCAAGAACTTCAAGCTGTGAAAAAAAAAGAAAGTCTCGTGCAATTGCCGATGGTCATCGAGTTGTCATGTGGAGCAGGATACCCCAAGGATACAGGCGCATCATCATGATCAACGCAGTACAAGAAGAGCAGGAATAAAAATGCACCCACAACGATGTGCTTCGATGGTTTTAGAATCGATTCACAGGTTATATGCGCCCCATCCATTAATTCGGTTAGCTCCGGCACAGGATACTGGCACTCTCGACTTGCAAGGATCGATTGTCGATTGTCTATAGGACAGGTCGGGTGATCCGAATGGAATGGATCTTGAGGCCAGAAAAGAATCCATATCCTGGGCCGCACTGTAAGATTCCTCAAAAGGATAGGGTGGTGACCTGTTAGCACCCATGGGAGGTATGTATGCATGCGGCCGTTCAGTGGACGCGTGATGGCTGCTTCTTTGATCCCCTTATAAGAGGTTCCCTTATCCTCGTCCTTCTACTATTATTGCCTCTTGTTTTTTTTTTGGTCCGTTCCTGTCCCTTACTCCTGTTCCCCCCGCAACCAGAGGGGTGTCCGTTGCATTGCGATGCATGTCCATGTGTATATATATAACTATTTATTTATTTGAATCCTGACCCTATCAGCTGGACGTCGAGGGGACAAAGGGGGTTATCATGAACAAAACACACATTATTATTGCACATTCAAACATAAAAGCACGTTCAGGCCGTAGAGAGACGATAGGCAGGATTTCCTCCATTTTATTAGATTTTGATAATTGTTGGCAGCAAGCCAGCAGCAAAGTTACAAAGGACGCTTGTTTGATAGGTAGTATGTAGCAAGAGAGTAAAAAACACACACACACACACACATCCACACACCACACACACACCCACATACACAGCCTATGGCTGACTAGAAGACAGGTTGAGCAGAGGTAACTGTCTAGTGAGGGCGCGGCAGCGGATAGGATGGTCAGGCAAGGAAAAAGGGGGAAGGGAGGGGAGGGGGGGAATGGAAGAACAGAGTTTCGTTCCTTGGGACACACACACAAGGAATCAAAAATAAGAGAAAAAGACGCGCATCTCAATCAGTCCTGCAGAGAACCGGAAAGTGGGAATCCTGATGTTCGCGATGGAGTAGTATCAATTGAGTGATGTGAGAGAAGATCAAGGAGAAACGAGAACGAGATGCAGTCGAAGAAATACAAAGTGAAGGGGCGTTGAGCAACGATGCCTGAAGTGCAAAGAGGCAGGGATTGCTGTCGCAGAAAATCGAGGGGTGGGGGAGAGCGAGAGCGAGATAGAGAGAGAGAGAGAAAGAAAGAAAGAGAGAGCCGCCTTCAGAGAATGAGACAGAACTTGCACTTGGCTGCCGAGTCCGATTTAGAGTGTCCAGGCAGCTCCTGCTCCGGTGCTTTGATCGTCAGGTGGACTATTGTCGTTGCGCCGGACTGGATTTTGTTGGATTCGAGTGTGGAGCTGTCGGCGAGGAACTTGCCCAAGTAGAGGATCTTTAGACTCTGGGGTGACGCAGGCTTCTCCTCCTGCCACTCCTTGGGCCAGCTCTCAAAGACTTTGCTCTTGACGACCTCAATGGTGTCTGTGGGCTGGAAGGTGAACGTTGTGCGTGAACCAGAGACGAGGAGTAGAGTCAGCGCGACCTTGTCGGCATCGACGGTTGCTGCAGCAGCTGTTGCAGGTGTGGATGAGGGAGTGTCGGCCATGGTTCTACTTGGCTGGTATATGGTTGATGGTACGCGACGGGCAAGAGTCTGTTTCTTGTTTGGCGGGGTTTGATAATGAGGATGATGAGGACAAAGATGAAGATGCTGATGCTGGTTGCCAGCGAGAGAAAGAGAGAAAGAGAGAAAGAGAGAAAGAGAGAAAGAGAGAAAGAGAGTGAGAGAAGGGATCAGAGGGGCGAGATGGGAAGATTAATGTTGGATGAGGATGAGTCAGTGTGGGATGGAGTGAGATGGGGTGGGATGGAGTGGGATAATGGGAAGTGAGATGGTGAAAAAAGAGAGACTGAGAGGGTCACAGACCAAGAGGTCACAGTTTGGAATGGGCGCACAGGTCAGTCAGGATGTATGTATGGGGTGTATGAGGACACGAGGTGGTGAGGTTAAGGAGATGAAGATGAAGAAGAAGAAGAAGAAGCGGAAAAGAGGGTATATGGATGGTGTTTCGTTGATGGGAGTAGTGGTGGGTCAGAGAAGGGAGAAGAGAGAAAGAGAGAGAGAGAGAGAGTGTGTGTGTGTTTGTGTATGTGTATGTGTGTGTAAGAGGACCATTGGCCCTGTCTTTGTCTCACCCTTTTGTCGCCCGCGAGAGGGAGAGGGAGACGAAAACAGTGGCGAGAGAGAGAGAGAGAGAGAGAGCGTGCAAACACTCTGTTGCTCGTGCGTCTTTGGCTTCTCTTCTCTCATGCCAATATGGACGGACATATCCCCATGCCATCCAGATAAATAATCATTATAGCCCACAGCATTCGCCATTCATTCGGTCATCCCCACCTCCACTCCATCGCCCTCCTCTCCCTTTCTCCCTCTGCCTCCTCCGTTCCTTCATCGCATTCCCCCCATACTTTCCCTCCCTCCTTTCTCCATCTTCTTCTCTCAGCAACGACTAGGACACCTCATCTGCAGCAGTAGCACCACCCACGCGGATCTCTTTTCACACCCTCTACTCTTCCGCGCTCTTCCTCTCCTCTCTCGCGCCCTCTTTCCCCCCTCTCTCCCCCCTTCCTTCAATGGATCTTTGATCGATCGACACGACTCCTTCCCTCCCCTGCGACACCCACAATCGACATAACCTGCCGAAAGAACACCATCCTCCTCTCGTTCTCTCCTCCACAAAAACGGAAACAAGACAGAAGGCACTGCCCAATTGCCCAATTGCCCGCTACTGGTTGCTTTATCCTCCTCTCCATTCTCCTTCCAGGGTATGTCAAAAAAAGAAGGAAAAGCCGCATCCTCCCTGTCTCTTGCCTTTCCCACTGCCACACGATCGACTGCTCGACTGCTCGACTGCTCGACTGCTCATAAACGGATTCCTTCTGTCTCACTCACTCCCGCCCACGCAAATTGCGCCCAATGACAAAGTGAATCATAGCCCCCCACCCAATAACCGCGTTGCGCTGCACTGCGCTGCCCAACCTTTGCCCTGCCCAATTGCAGGTGTCAGTGCAGGATGATCTGCTCTGCCCCTTTACTCTTCTTGCAAGCACCCCCGCCCGCGTGCCCCTGCCCCAAGGGTGGCCTCTCCCCCCGTGCTCTTTTAATGTTACTCAACGGTCGCATATATTGCTTCAAAAAAGAACAAATCTCACCTGCATACAGAAAAGAGAGCTCCATATTGCGTGCCGATCCCTCGACACTCCGCTCTGCAGGACACTCTCCTGCTTCACTGTCGTGCTGTAGAAGCCCCATTGTGAGCTGGGCTACACCCATTGCGCAGAAGAAGAGATGGCGGCCCAACAGCATCCGCTGCCCTGCCCCACAGCAATCAGCTCCTTGCTCATATCGTGCCCTTGTACCTGAATGACATGCCGCCCTTTTTTTCCCTTTGTTTTTGTCACAGATCTGTCCACCTGCCCACTCTCACTCTCTCGTCATCTTACCCCTCTTTTTCTGTTTCCTGACCATTTCGCTCCACTTCAATCCATCCGTCGCAATTGTCATGTCCGAAGCAGCAACTAACCTCGTTATCTCTCTCTTTCTCCCTCTTTTTTTTTTTTTGGCTGTTGCGCCATCACCCTTCTGTCCCACTCCTCTTTCTCCTCCCACGTCTCTGCACAATTCCACAGCACTGCAACTATACGCGATACCATCTTCCATCATAGATCTCGTCTTATTCCGCAATGGGGTTTCTATTCGGCTTCCTGTGTGGGCTGCTCTTCTTGCCGCTTAGTATCCTAGCAGGTCTGTATTGTTTTTTCACCTACGCAGAGTCTTACTCCGCAAAGAAAGAAGAGCAGCTCAAAGAGGAAAAGCGCAAAGAACAGGAACAGGAACTCGATTTCGACGACATGCCCTCGGCTCTCTATGCCTCCTATCTCGCGTCTCGGCAACAAAACGGCAATGGATTATCCGGAACGGGTTCGATACCCGAACACCTGGACCCTCAGTATCAATTCGCAGGCTGGATTTCCGTCAAACGGATACCCGAGGTCGACCACCGCATCATCGAGCCCTCGCTCAAGAAAGAAAAAAAGAACTCGAACAGGAACGGACAATTGAGTGGTCGCATGGGTCTCACACTAGACGAGGGTGTGCAAGGCAGAGGAGTTGCTGGATCAATGGGAGCGGCCGCAGCCATGCAGGATCCTCGGTTCACCTATCTCGACACTCAGAATCCGCACCTTTCGCTGCCAGCCTGTCTGCAGGCGCGCTTCAAGGACTCAAAGTACGGCGTAATCAAAGGCGCATCCATGTTCATTTACGAGAACGAGCACATGCGCGATTGTTTGGGCGTCATCACTCTGCCCAACTACCAGATCTCAGTCCCGGGAGAACAAAAGGATAGCCACATCTTCTCAAAACGGAACCCCATATGGCTCAAGCACCAGCCCAGCCCTCATCATGGAAGACATTCCACCTCCAGCTCCGACGCTAGTCCGCCCACGTCGAAGGATTACTATCTGTCAATGGTCAGCAGTGTCGACAAGGAGGAGCTTTATTTCACGCTGCTTCGATGCTCCAAGCTCAAGCCGAACTCACGGTCGTTTCTCAGAGAGATCCCCAAGCGGGTAAGTTGCATTGTGGGGATATATAGAAACCCCCACGAATCATGAAATTAGCAAGTGTGAGCAGATTGAGGCCCGCTGGCTGAACCAATACCGCGCCATTCGCGTTTTTTTTTTCCTTTTTTATAATCATGTAATCTATTGATAGGACTCAACTCTCTTTGACAAGTCTGCCATGAACACACTAATCAGGAGCATTCACTCGAATGAACATCAGTACCAGTCAGCATGGCTCAACGCGATGCTGGGCAGGATTTTTCTAGGGATATACAAAACGCCCCAGGTCAAAGACATGGTGTTCCAAAAGATGGTCGACAAGTTGTCTCGCGTACGCCTACCCAACTTTCTGAACGACATGCGGATGAAATCAGTACACCTTGGCGACGGCGTCCCTTTAATCACCCGGCCCAAGCTCCTGAGCTTCAAACCCAATGGCGACTTGGTCATGGATATGAATCTTCTCTATCAGGGCGGATTCAGAGCCGAGGTCGAGGCCGAGGCTGTTGTCACCGTAACAAAAAAGATTCAGCCCATCAAGGTCTCATTGGTCCTTGTCATGACCCTAGTCCGGCTAGAGGGGCGCCTTCAGGCTTGGATCAAACCGCCACCGTGCAACAGGATATGGTATGGATTCTATCAGAAGCCCCAAGTAGAGATGAAGATTGAGCCGGTCGTGTCCGACAAGCACATCAAGTCCAACCTAATCATCAAAGCGATCGAGAACAAGATGCTGGAGGCGCTTGCAGAGACAATGGTGCTACCCAACATGGACGACATTCCCTTCTCAGACTCTGAGGGCCTCGGCGGTATCTTTGGCGAAGAGATCTTGCCTGGAGACGGAGCAACGACCCCACCACAACATCTGAAGCAACAGCACGCTCACACAGTACCATCGCCAAACCGAGCACATAGTCCTCCAACGCGCTCTGCGACAATCAACCTCGTAGAACCTGTACTCAGCACACCGCGATCAGCCATTGAGCTCCCCAGTGACTTGCGACACCGAACTGAGACAATGACAATACCGGAGCTATACGAGAGTACTAGTAGCGCCAGATCCCGTCCTTCCCATGGCGACGAAATCCTGCAGGCCAACTACTCGTACGACAACCAGAGCCGAACTGCCAGCGCTCAAGATGATGACCCACTGCAGTCTAGTACACAGCGACCAAAACAGCCAGCAGACTATTCGGAGAGCCATACAGCTAGAACTCTAAACGTGCCTGGAAGTCGCAGCACCAAGGCTGGTGAGGATTCTGTGTCAAGGACTCAGAGTCCGGACAGCGCCAAAAGTACCACTAGCAGTAGCAGACTGCTAAACCGCAGGAATCCTGGTCATACCTTGGAACCAGTGCATGGCCACAGAGAATCCCTGGACCCGAATTCTCCTCTGTCTTATACCACAGGAGTATCCGCAGGGAGCGTAAACGACTCGTCTCATTTCCCGGCCACAGAGAGCACGCGCCCCGCCGAGGACGATTGGTCCCAATATGGCATCTCCGAGTACGAACCATCGGCGCCTGAGGGCGGCAGAATCAACAGCAAGGACAAGAAGAAGGTGAAGGAAAAACCAAAGGCTTCCGAGAAGGACGTTGACCTCATGTCTGTACATTCCAAGGATTCGGGAGACACTGCTTCCACATACACCGGCAACACGCATCTGACAGACAACACAGGGCAGTCCTCTACGCTATATGGCCACAGCAGCAGTAGTAACTCAATCATCGATTCCCCATCGTCGAGATCAGACAAGTTTTCGCTGAGCAGGATGTTTAATGGTTTTCGAAAGAAACACACCAAAGGTGCGCATTCAGGGTCTATGCTGCCAAATCCTACGAACGGACTTGGTCGAGAGGACGATCAGGATTCGAATTCAGTCTTGCTGGAGGAGGCCGAGAGCGCGAACCTGGACACGGAAGGATCTCTGTATCATGGATCGGCGGACTACGAAGCTGGGCGCACACCCACACCATCTCCAGGACACCACCTTTCGAGCTCCTTTCAACCGCACCACCGCAAAAAGTTCGAGTCAACACCCAATCTCTCCTCAGTCTTGTATACAGGAGAGCGACAAGGCGGCTCTGCGAGTGCTGATGGTGCGCCGATCAGTAGCGCCGACTCTGCGCACTCGGTACAGGAGGAGTACGAATATGTTTCCATGCAGCGCCAAGGCTCCCCAGTCGCATCCGTATACGCTGCCAGCCTTTTTGATGATTCACATGGCCAGCCGAGTCAGGGACCATCAGCCTCCGTCTCGAAACATCCACCTCTGCAGCACCATCCCTTGATGAACTTTAGCCCAAGGTTGGGTACGGCGCTTCGCAAGCTGCGTAATCGACCTCGCGCAGGCAGCGCATCATCCAAAGAGGACCTTTCTATTCCACCAGGGGATCTTACTGGGGCACTGCAGCAAAACCAGGGCGTATCCGGATCCGACACCTCGAGTCAGACCAGCAACGACAGTTCCACTACCAACACAAACAACGACGCTGGCGCGCGGCCACGCCCTGCCTCGGTTCTCGGTAGCCCTTTGGAAGATGAACAACCGTCCAAGAACCCGAATACTTCCATCTCAGCTATGGGTTTACAGTCTGGGCGTCCCAAGGCAAATCCAAGTACAGCGCCCCTGATTGTATTACAGAAGCCATCGCCGCACCTGGGTCACATTGAACCACCGTCTCCTATGTATGCTGAGGGAATGTTTCCGGATGGGGGCTATCATGGTATGCAAAGTTGCGATGAGTTCTGAATTCATGGCTATAGCCTCTCGCAGACTGTTCTAACGCGCTTTTTTGTTCGGTTCTTTCTTCCTTTCTTTTTTTTTTTCGGTTTAGAACGAGCATCTATGGATGACAGCCGCCTTCTGTCCATGCGCCACCAATCTTATAGCGCTGTCAGTGTAAGATCAGATCGCTACTCACCCAATGTTGGTTCACTGAGCCCAGTTCTCAACGACAGACTGACAGCCACAAGCGGCAGACCCAGGAGACATAGCATCAACCATCCGCCAACTGCCTCTCCTGTAGCATATGCCATGCATCACCATTTTATGACTCATGGTCTTGGAGTCACACCAACTTCGCCTCTTCGAAGAGAGTTCACTCGGGACGATGATGATACCGAGTTCAGTCCAACAATGACTTTAAACAGAGGCGGCTCTGGTAACAGCAGGAATCGGGACAATACTGATGCCCTATCCATGCGGTCTGCAGAGTCACATTCGCCCAACGACTCACAACCTCATCGCTCCAGCACGTTTCGTCATATCTTATCGTCTCTGGGAGATAAGGTCAAGAAGAAAAATGTCCCACAACAGGGCTTTCATCCGAGTAGCGATGATCCCTACAACACCGTGGGCTTTGTGGGCATGGCCGGAATTATAGCGATTGGCCGGGCAGGAACCACCTATGGCACTGAGGACGATCCTTATGCCCAAGCTGGCGGCGTTGAGGAGCGCAAGGAGTTGCAACGTGCTTCAATGGACAGCAACCGACCCCACCATAGTCAAAATAGTGATGGGGAGTCATTATTTCGTGCCACAGAGGAACGGAAGATGAAGGCTGGTTTGGGCCCATTGTTGGAAAGTCCGACCACTCCTCCGACACAGTCGATCATGGGCAAGGCTATCGCCATAGACGTCGATCATCATAAGGAGTCTCTGCATGCGCGTCCTGGTTACATTGGCGAATATCCCACGCCTGTCCGTATGCATTCGATGTTGAACAGAGAGGCAGCGGCGGTTCGATCAGTTGCGGAGCAAGAGGAGGAACAGGACGAGGAGGATGATCCACCGAAGGATGTCGATCATGAACCTTCATCGAGCACGAGAGCAAGCAGCTATTCACTGTCCCTGGATGTCAGTCTGTCCCCGTCTCTGCCTCTCAGCGCCAGGGTCGCGACTGTGAAGAGCAACTCGATGCCGCCCCCACAGACTGGTATGCTTCCGGAGCCATTGCCTGTACCCACGAGTGGCGAGGAGATCCCACTGGCAATGCCGATCTATATCCGTGACAGCGGAACGAGCAGTGACCAGGGAGATTTTCGCTCCGGTAGCTCTGAGCAGACCATGGCGCGCTACGAGTATGGGACGATGGTGAACAATCCTCGGGTGGAAGAGCCTTCCCGGGACAGAGAACAGGCAGCAGTGACTGACCGTGATGACGATGGTGAAGGAGCGGTCGAGGACGACGGACGATTCCTACATCCATCATCAAAGGCTTCACCACCCAACTCCTTGCCGGGAACCAAGAAGAGCCAGCACCGGAATATCTTTAAGCGACTGATCCGTCGGAAATCCGAGGACTCCTTGACAGCGATGGCGAACGATCCCAGCCGTCATTCAAATCTGTCGTCGTCGTCGTCCTCTCTTTATATGAGCCCGAAAGCATCCCAGTCGCAGTCGTCGGTCTTGGGGACTTCGAGCACGTCTTCGTCATCGTTCTCGCTGCCGTTCCTCCACCACCACCACCTCCCCCACTACCATCACCATCAAGACCAGCAACATCAATCGCAAGGACTTGAGCAGCCGTCGTTCGACCCTTCACATCCGCAAGAATATCTTTACCAGGAACACTCGTCGACACAGGTCCCAGACCACAACCCAGATCTTATGTATCACCAGGGACAGACACCAGAGGACGCCTCGATCGCGAGGGAGGGCTCTTTGAATGGCGCGAGGACGAAAACTAGGACTCGACCACGATCTTCGACCATCCATGCGATTTCTTTAAGTCGGACCTAAGATCATCATACCTTAATGTTTATTGGACAAAATTCTTTTGCTGTGCTGAACTGTGCTTCGTGTTTGAGGTTAGGTCTTTGGCGAAAGGTTCTTCTCAATTTTGTAAATTATATAGACGATGGAGAAACGGACAAAAGACCAAAAAAAAAAAAAAAAAAAAAAAAAAAGCCGATAATAGTAATAATAAAGCGGCCATCTGATCCCTATCCATCCATGGTCATTGTTTGTCCACGTTGTTGGTGATTTTGATGGAAGTTGAAAGAGAGAGAGAACAACAGATACAGAACGCGTAGAGCGGGCATATCAGCAAAGGATCAACGAGTTGACGCTCACTGAAGGGCACTAAAGTAAACCGGGATTCGGGGTTCGAGAACGACGAGGCATGGATGGACATCGACAGCGATAAATGACCATGGACAGAAACCCAGAAGGCCGCCGTTTATTTTTATCAGTGTGTATGTTTCACTACACTTTACTGTTGTGCTGCGTCTTAGGAGTCCTTTTTTATCTTTCATTGCCACACCTCGTTAGTTGCATTTAGAGAAGCGCATGCATTTATAGAACTTTTTTTTTTTTTTTTTTTTTTTTTTTTTTACTATCGCTGTCCTCACCACCAAAGCGGAACCGATCCACAGTCGCCAAAAGACAGGTCACATTCCCCGGGCCTGCCCCTAGGGCCTACGCAACAATTGCCACACCTCATCAGTGTGTTAAAAGCTGAAAACACCTTGTTACAAGAAGGGTATCTTCCCCATCCCCTCCATGGTTGTCAACCGCCTCCTCCCTTGCAGGCAATCCAGCAGCGTCCGATCCGCTGCGTCTGGGTCAAGCAGGGGGCCAGGGCAGCTCCCGTTTACATGGTCAGCGAGTAATGCACCACACGGACATTGGTCATCGTCGCTAATGTATCCATACCCATCACTCCAGTCCCCTCTCGGTCCCTTGTATGGAGTTCGTTTCATCTTGGCTGTGATCCCCCATTCTCGCTCTCGAGCAATAGTGACCTTGCAGCGTGGTTTCCAGATCAGCTCCGTAGCTTTCTCCGCAATAAAGCCGACGAACTTGTGAATGACCTGGCGCGC